CGTGGAGGAGGGGCTTGTCCGGGGAGGGGCGCGTCTGGAAGGGCGGAGCTCCGAGGGCGGGACGAAGCTGGGAACCTGGGGCTTATTCCTCCGAACAAAATTAAATTGGAATAATCCGGGCGATAGAGAGACACCCAGGCGGGGTTAAATTAAGGAGGTGGGACTTGGGCGGGTTTAGCTGAGACTATAGCAACCCGGGGCGGGGCTCGGCAGGAGAGGGTGCGTTCTCGTGGGCGGGCTTACTGGGAGGCGGGGCTTATCTGTGGGCGGGGCTCTGCTGGGCCCCAGTCGCGAGGGTCCAGCCTGGGCCTCCCGGGCTGGGGAGTGGTCAGGGTGGCGGCTCTGAGAAGCGCAGCCTCCCCTTGCGCTTGACCCCGCGACTTTCCAGAGCGTCCGGGTGGATGACTAGCTCGGCCACACCAATGAAACGCCCTCTGCGCACTCACCTGCTTCTCCACCTTGACCACGCGGCCCATCATACTAATTTCATCCGCCGCCTCCGTGTCCGAGGGCCCCTTGTCGCCCTTCTCCCGGGCCTTTCGGTCCCCGGGGCACCTGCCCACAATCTGGTCCACCCTGTGGGGGAAAGGGAGCCGTCAAAGGGCCCAGACACACGCCACCCCTCCTTCCCACAAGATCTCGAGGTTGCCTGCTGAAAAGGGGAGACACAGCCTGCACTGGTGGGAGGGAGGCTCCCCGAGGGAGGGGGCCTTGCCAAACGGAGGGACTGGCCACTGCTTGGAGGGTGTTCCACTGAGCTGAGCAAAGGCATCACACAGAAGCACGACAAGTAAACACAATCACCTAGTGGGGGGACAGGTGGGAAATGGACCGGGAAAAGAGGAAGAGACACAAGCGGGGCTGTGAGTTATAAGGCAGACCAGGCTGGAGCTGGCCCCACCTTATTTTTCTGCTCTTCTTTACAGCAAAATTCCTGAAAGTGTTTTCTCTACCCTCTATCTCCAATCTCTCTCCTTCCGTTCTAAAGCCTACTCCAGTCAGGCTTTCACTTCCACCACTTCATCAAATCTACTGTTGTCAAAATCCCAAATGACCTCCATGTTGCCAGATTCAATGATCATTTCCCAGTCCTCATTATACTTGCCCTATTAGCAGCGCTGGGCACATCTGAGCACCCCTTCCAGTGCTTTCTTCATCTGGACTCCCAAACACTATCCTCTCCCGGTTCCCTACCTCACTGAGTCTCCTTCGCTGCCTCCTTTATCTCTACAACCTCTAAATATTGCAGGACACATCTGAGCACCCCTTCCAGTGCTTTCTTCATCTGGATTCCCAAACACCACCCTCTCCCGGTTCTCCTACCTCACTGAGTCTCCTTCGCTGGCTCCTTTATCTATTGCAGGATCCAAGGTTCGCTCCTGGAACCTCTTCTATGCATTTACTCTCATTCGCTGTGATGTCTTCAGTTCCAGATGTTCATTCCACTATACACTGTCGACACCAAATCTATATCTCCAGCACCATACCTCTCCTCTGAACCCCACACCCTTCTAACTGCCAGATCATCACTCCATTTAGATGTCTGATAGGCATCACAAACCCAACATGTCCCAATTTTACTGATCAAAACTTGCTCCACTCATTGCCTTCCCCATGTCAACAGACAGCAACTTCTCCCTCTTCCTTAAGCCAAAAACTCTGGCTTCATCTTGGACACCTTTTCTCCCCCTCTTATACCCCATCAGAAAACCCTGTCAGCTCTATCTTCAAAATATATCTAAATCTAACCATGTCTACCCTTGGTCCAAGTCCCCATCATCACTTGCCTGGATGTCTGAAGTAGCATCCTCAATGGTCTCCCTGCTTCCATCCTAGTTCCCTTATGAGCCATTGGCAACACACCACCTAGAGTGATCCTTTTAAAATATAGCTCAGATCTCACCACTCCTTGCTCAAAGCCCTCCAATGCTTGCATCTCACTTTGGATGAACACCAACATCTTCGCAGTGGCCTACAGGGCTTTATACAGTCTGAGTGCCATTAGCTTCTAACCTCATCTGCTACTTCTCTCTCCTCAGGCACAGTCGGCTCCTTGCTGGCCCTAGAACAACACTCCAGCCACATGCCCATCTCAAAGCCTTTGTACTTGCTGTTCCCTCTGGAAAACATTTAAACAGCCACAGGGCTGCTTGCCTCGCCTTCAATTTTTTTTCTCAAATATCACCTTCTCTCCTGTTTAAAATAGCAAACCCCAATACTCCAGCCCTTTTTTTTTCTTAGCATTTATTATTGTCTGACATATTCCATCTGTTCTCCTTCCACTAGAATGAAGGCCCCATGAGGGCAGGGACTCTGTTTTGCTTTCTACCATATCCCCACTGCCTGGCAAGTAACAAATACCCAATGACTATTTCTTGAGAGAACAAATGAATGAACAGGCAGTGAGAATTCCGGCCACAGAAGGGCAAAGTGTAGGTGATTTGGAGTCTTGGTATGAGAGTTTTTCCTATATGCCGGGTGGAGAGAAGTGCCAGGGAATTCCAGAGGTAAGAGGTGGGCAGTATGGAGGACAATCCCCTTGAGAGGTGGGAGGTTATTATTTTAAGCCCATTATTTTATGTGAGGTAAGAGGTGGGCAGTATGGAGGACAATCCCCTTGGGAGGTTATTATTTTAAGCCCATTATTTTATGACCAGGAAACAATCATCTAAAGACGTCTCCTGAATTGTGCAGGCCAATAGGGTTCTCACAGAGGACCTGCGCTGGCTGTTCTTCAGGTTCAAGATAGGCGAGGGGTCTGGCCTCAGCCCCCAATCATCTAAAGACGTCTCCTGAATTGTGCAGGCCAACAGGATTCTCACAGAGGACCTGGGCTGGCTCGTTCTTCAGGTTCAAGACAGGCGAGGGGTCTGGCCTCAGCTGAGAGAAACTCCAGCCTCCCTAGCGGCCCCTAGGGGGCACTCGGGCTTCGTTCTGGCTTTGGACTTGGGACCTCACGCGGAATCTGGGGCCAGGGCCTCCCTGCCCGGCTCCTGGGTTGGGAGCAGGCGCGCACCCACCGGGTCTGCAGGCTCTTGATCCGACCCAGCATGTCCAGGTGCCCTGCCGAGTACTGCTCTATGACGTCCTTCACGTCGTACGGTCGCAGCGTCTCCTTGAATTTCCTTTTGGCCACCAGGAACTTGAGGATCCTGTGGAGAGAGGGGCGGAAAAGTGTCTCAGAGGGAATTCTTTTCCAGCCCCGTCACCGTCCCTTTGCTGCCTCCTTGTACAGTACCAAGGCTCCTCCTGCTTGGACCCCGGCAAACAGCCTCTGCTGAGTCTCCCAGCCTCCCTCCCTACCCACCATGCCCCGGAACCCAGAGTTTGGTATTCTTTAATGTGCCTATATGTGCAGTCGCATTTGCCTGGGAGGACAGGGACTGGACCGGGTTGCTCCCTGCTAGGTGTGACACTTTTACTGATGACAGCTTGGACAAAGACATTTTATATATATATTGATTTCAGAGAGGAAGGGAGAGACAGAGAGAGAAACATCAATGATGAAAATCATTGATCGGCTGCCTCCTGCACGCCCCTTACTGGGGGTTGAGCTCACAACCTTGGCATGTGCCCCTGTCTGGAGTCGAACCCGGGACCCTTTAGTCCGCAGGCTGACGCTCTATCCACTGAGCCAAACCGGCTAGGGCGAGACAAAGACATTTTTTGCATTCCCTCAGCATATGCTTGTTAGCACAGCTGTGCTGGACCTGGGCACCCAAAAGGGCGTCAGATCCATTTGCTGGCCTCAGAAGCCCTGGTCTGAAGGGGGCATCAGAGGACATAAACAATTATGGGCTGACAGGGGCCATGTCAAGGACTAGAGAAAGAAGGCTGGGGGCCATGACAAGGGAGGCATTGGCTGGTGCAGTCAGGGGACAAGTCTTGGGAGGGGGACGGAGGGAGGCTTTCTGGACAAAGGCAGGCAGGACCCTGTGTGAGTGAGTCAGGTCAAAGTAGCCGAAACAAGTTGGGAAGGAAAGGAAGGTGGGGTGGGCGTATGAGCAGACGGAAAGGGATTGGCCTTGAGATAGAGGCTGAGGAGGGTACTCTGCAGAGCCCTGAATCCCTGGCAGAGACTGGGCAATGGGAAGTTGGGTGGTGGGGAAGGGTCTGTTCTGCCAGCCTTGGAGGGAACCTGGGAACCTGGGGCTTATTCCCCCAAAAGAAATTTAGGCAGGAAGACCTGTTCCCAGGGATAGGCCTGAGCCGGAAGCGGGCAGTGAGGTGAGATACGGGACAGCAGTGAGCAATTCAGGACTGAAAGACCCCTAAGTCTGAGCTGATTTCACTAAGTTGACTCCCGTGGTTGGGGCAACAGGGTGGATGGTGGTGCCACTGGCTGAAATGGAGACCAGGAAGAGGACCAGGTTTGGGGCGTGCTGGGGGTAAGGAGTCTGTGGGGTGGCCAAGGAGTGTTGACCTGGGCCAGGTGGCAGCTCGGGCATTGTTTCCTGGAAGCTAGTCACTTGGAGGGGAGAGATGGGATGTGCAAAAAGAGGGTGAGAAGAGAACTCAGGTTCACTGGGGTTGGGGAGGAATCCAGCTGACTCTGGTTTTTAAAGGAACACAAGGGAAGAGGCTTGTGGGCATGTGCATCAGCCAGGGAAGAGGCAGCGAGTCTGGAAGGCCTGGGGGTGAAGGCATCTGTGGAACTCAGGCTGGAGACAGAGACCATGCCAAGGAGCTGGGGGGCCAGATCCATGCTGGGCCGGGACTAAAGAGCTCAGGGGACTCTGGTCACCCCTTAAGTGTGGAGGCAAGGAGACAGCCAGAAGAGTCAGAAGGGCAGGGGTTTTCAAACTTTTTGACCAAGACCTACCATAAGAAATATATTTTACTTCAGAAACCAGTCCACACATACACACAGGCACATAACTAAAAACACAAGTTTCATACACATCATTTACCCTCACTACTGGGACGCACACCGATATTTTCCTTTCTTTTTTAAAAAAATTTTTTAGGCGAACCATGGCCCACTAAATTGATTTCACTAAGTTGACTTCAAACTGCTGTGACCTGTGGTTTGAAAACCATTGCTCGGCCCTGGGGGAACAGACAGGGTGAAGTCAAGACACAAGGAGAGAGAGACAGTCTGAAACACAGATGGAGGGAAAGAGCGTATAAGACAGACACAGGGAGAGGCAGGCAGATGCTGATGCACGCCAGGGAGAGAGAAATAAAGAGAAAAGAGCCGGACATAAAACGAGCAAGCGGCTGGGAAGAGAAGCGAGGACGATGCTGTGGGCGTGATGGGCAGCTGAGCCAGCCGCCCCACCCAGCCAGCCCTCCCATCATAAGAGTATGGGGAAACCCTGCTGGGAGCCATATGCCACCTCCGCACCCACCCACACAAGGGTGCCAGGCGGGCAGCAGCTGGTGTGCCCGGGATCTAGGCCAGGCCTGGCCATGAGGGCAGACCCCAGATGGGGAGCAGCAATGGGTGGCAGATGAATGGGGGGAGGACCCACCTGAGGCCTAAGTCTCACCTGACAGAGCGGATGACCGTCTTCACCGCAGGCATGACGTCATCCACCGTGAGCTCGCACTGGTAGCTCTTCTCCTCTGCCACTTCCTCGGAGGGGCCCTCTGGAAAGTCAGGGGACCCAGGTGGTGGCGGCAGAAGGGGCCACTCCCACCCCTACCACCACATGCCCAATTATACTTAGAAGTATTGATAGGGAGACCAAGGCCCAGAAAGGGCCCAGAACCTTCCTGGGGGCACAAGGCAGACCAGATTCCTGCCTCCCTCGATGCCCTACCCAGAGTGGAAATCCCTAGTTCATTGCACAGCATCTCCCTGTGGCCAGACAGGGTGAACATTTACCTGGTGGCCAGGCGGAAGCACATCTGGTCTGGCCTGGGGGGAACGATACAGAGCCCTGGAGGAAGCCCCACTAGTTCTACTACCAAGGACGGGGAGTCCCTAAGAAAAGGGGCTTGTGGCCTCTGCACACCATCAGGCACACTGTCTCATCCTTCAGCCAAGAGGGAACCAAGAGGGAAGGAAGTCAAGGGGCTGGCTCCCCTGGCCAGCTCTGCCACTGGGCAAGGCCCCTAAATCAAGTCATTTCCTTCCGGATGAGAGAAATGGCTTTTCCCAGGCTGGTGCCCTGACTGCACAGAGAGGTGATGCTGTCCTGGGCCCTCAGGGCACAAGGTGGTGGGAGGCCAGGTATGTCCTTGGGCATGGAAAGGAGGCCCCAGGCACCAGCCTTGCCCCATCTCTCATGGTTCGTGTAGATCTATAACTCCAGGAAAGGCCTCTCCGAGTTGTCAGCATGCCGCGCATTAGGGGCTGACCCAGCACAGACAGAGGCAGCATAGCTGAGTCCTCTCCCTCCAAGGTCAAAGGGGCTTCCTATCCCCATCCTCCGTCCTTGTTCACCCGCCCCCTCCTTTTCGCACCCAGGGGCCTGAAGCATGTCAAAGCTGGGAGAACTCTTCCGGGGAACTCGGTCCAACCCTCTCGTTTTCCAGAAGAGGACATTGGGTCACAGAAAGGGGCAGTATCTTGCCTAAGTCACAGTGTAAGTCAGCAATAGAGCTAGAACTCAGAAAAGTGACCTTTTTGGTTAAAAAGCAACCTGCACCAGGTTCACCACCTTGTGTCTGCTGGCTGGGCTGGGGAAGAGGGGCAGGGTGTGGAGCATGGGCTATGGAGCTGGACAGGCCTGGCTGAGAGCTCAGCCTCCAGGTCTGTGAAATGGGGACGCAAACAGAACCTATTTCCCAGAGCGGTTGGGAGAAGTAAACCAGAGAATCCACTGTGGGGCTATACACAGTCCCGGCTCAGCAAGTATGGGCTCCTGCTCCCTCCAAAGCACATTGCACTGCAGCTCGCTTTCGATGAGCACTTACTATATTCCCAGCATCCTTCTGTTCACCTCCCATGGACAATCTCCTTTAATCCTCACAATAACCTTAGGGAGTAGATACTATTATCAGCCCCACTTTAGAGATGACAAGAATGAGTCCTAGAGAGTCATCCTAGGACTTTACTCAAGACAAATGGCAAAGCCAGGATTCAAACTCAGGGAGCCTGGCTCCAAAGCCTGTGCCTTTAACCACTACCAGATGCCACCCTCCGCATTCTCATCTGATTCTCAGTCTGGAGCCCTGCGAAGCAGGTATCGTGATGCCCATTTTACAGACCAGAAGGTGCCCGAAGATAGTCAGTCAGGTGCAGAGCCAGGACTGGAACCAAGTCTTTCCACCCCCAGCTCAGACTCTGTCCCCACCCTGCCACCCTCAGCAGGTCCGGGGCCCCAGGCCCCCAGGGCTCACCCTCAGCAGAAGAGCGGGGTTTGAGTCTCAGAGAGGCCCGGAAGCGGGTGCGGTCATTGAAGCTCCAGCTCTTCTGGACCTTGGTGGGGCTGGTGGCCTCACCCACCTGCTCGCTGCTTGGGGAGGTGGCCATTGACGGCGGTGCCAGGTGCTGCTTGGAGGGGCCTGTCCGCCGCTGGGAGCTGCCTATGCGGATGCGGTCTTTGATGCCCATTCGGCTACTGGCAGGGCAAGTTGGGTGGGGGAGAGAACCAAGTTAGCTGGAGCTGGGGTGGGCATGAGTAGAGACATAGCTGACTTAGGACTCGGGGGTGGCTGTTGGGTATGGTTCTCCACCAAGTGGAGACTTCCTGGGATGGGACAGGGTGTGGTGAGGGGGGCCCTGACTCCTACAAGAAGCTAATCCAGGGTCAGTCTGAGCAGATCCTCCCCCTCCCTCACCTCCCACCCCTCAGTGCCCAGACAGATAAGGGGTGCACAGGAGACAGATGTCAGAGTGGAGGGAGTGATAGAACCCAAGAAGGAAGTCAAAGACGGACAGGAGGACAGGGGAGCTGGCCTGGCCCAGATGGGTGGGTGGGTGGAGGTGGTGACCAGCCTTGGGCAGACAGGCTGTGAAAGGATGGAGAAGTTCACCTGGCCGTGCTCACCAAGGTGAACCTCCAGCCCCTCACTGTACCCAGGGGCAGGCTATGTGGAGTTGAGGGTGTGTGTGTGTGTGTGTTGGCATGCACACATGTGACAGTGGGTACACATGTATCCGTGTGTGTACATATGTTGGGGTGTGTGTACATGTGTCAGTTTATATTTCCTTCCTCCTTTCCCCACTCCTGGAATTACCTGATCCCATACTGGTCAAGGCAGGGCATTGGGACCTGTCCAGCCACACTGCAGTGCGCTGTAAAATTCCTGAGGTCTCCACCACACGGGCTTCAGTGTAAGTGGTGCTGGAGGCCTGCAGTGGCCTGGCTGCTGAGCGGCCTTGGCCCTGTTTAGCTCATGGGCCCACATGTATGCCCAGGACACATAGGGTGTCTGCCCTCCCGGGGAAGGTCTGTAACCTGTTCTTCTGAGGTCTCCCCTGCTCGAACTCTGCCCACCTGGGCTGATAACCTGCCCATGTGATCATGGATCCCCCCTCCACAGCTCTACTTGACTGTTCACTAAGCCCCCAGAGAACAGCACCTACACACGTCTGTGCTCATGTGAGCACACACACGCATGTCTGCATGTGCTCAAACTTCCCTTCCCACATCTCAGTTCCCCACCACACCCCCAAGCCATGGAGGAAGGCAGGTTGGGGGGCTAAGGTTCCCCAGAACAGGTCCTGGATAACCATTACCTGGTAGAGTAACTCTGTGTCCAAGAGGTTCAAGGACCATGTCATCGCTGTTGGAGCAGGACCTATGCAAACGTCCCCCATCCCATGCCCTGTGGCTGCCTCCCTGCTGTGGCTTGCCACTTGGAGGGCCCCTAGCAGATAGATTTGGGGGCCTTCTGCCCCAAATGTCTAGGGCCCTGGCTCAGAGAGCATCAGCCAGTCTCAGAGGAGCCTGAGGTGGGGCAGGAGCTGGGGGACAAGACTGTGTCACCTACTTTCCAATCAAGGATGGCAGAGGATAGATTCTGGTTTCAGGGTTGGGTGGAAGCCGGGGTCCCCCATGCTCAGGGCATGGGGTCCAGGGTACAGAGTCAAGGTACTGCGGTAAGGGAGATCTTGAAACCAGAGGCAACTTCGGAAAGGCAGCCAGGATACAGAGCCATCCTTAAAGGTTGGGGCCTCTGCCCAGAGGGGAGAGGTGATAGGTCAAGGGTTTGGGCCCTGAAATCAGAAGGGAAGGACAGGGGTGGCCCCCGCAATCTAGCATGCTGTTTTCTGGCCCAGTATCCCCTCAACACATCCCAAAAATTCCAACCAAAGTTTGAGGTTGGCTCTCCCAAACTTTCCTCTGCAGAGCCATTCCTTCGAGCTCTCCTCATGCTGGCAAGCACCCCCACACCCGCCCGGCCCGTGCAACCCCTCCTCCTGTCCTCCACTCCTCCAAGGGGGAGAGGAAGAGAGGGAGCTGGAGAAGACCCTGACACTCAGCCAAGGGCCTGGAACTCCAGATCTCTGCACCCAACACATCACTCCAGTGGTATTCTGGGGGAACGGGGTGACCTCCCTGTTATGACAAGTGTGCAAGCAAGACAGCTTGCACTCAGCAGGACTCATCCAGGGAAGGTCTGGGGGCTTGTACTAGAGGCCTTGAAAGGTCCCTTTCCAGCTCTGATTCTGTGACGGTTGGCGGGTTGTGGGTTCTGTAACTTTCCAGCCAGCCAGAGGCCATGGGCTCTGCTTTGATGTAAGAAGGCTGTTTCCCCAGGGGGCGGGGCTAGATTCCAGCTCCTTGGACAGGGCCCAGAAAATGGCTCCTGTGAGCCTCTCTGGAGCCTAAAAGCTCAAAGAAAATGGAAAGAAACCTGGCACACGGTGGACATGGAAAGGGCGCCTTCCTTTCCCAGGCTCCTTCGAACACGCAAGGTCCTGTCTCACTGCCTCAGCCCTCCAGCTCTCAGCCACTTCGTGTGGTGGGTTCCGTATTTTCCATCCCTGTTTTATAGATGCAGAGGCAGGTGAAATGACTTGCCCAAGGTGGCAGAGCTCCTGTGGATGGAGCAAGGACTGGGACCCTGTCTTCTCTGGCTGTACACACTGTGTTCTTTCTCTGGGACAAGCAATCACCCACACTGGGGAAACTGTGCTCGCTAGGGGACACTTGGCAATGTCTGAGACATTTCTGGTTGTCACACTGGGGTGTGCTCCTGGCACCTACTGAGTAGAGGACAGGGGTGCTGCTAAATATCCAACAATGCATGTGGCAGCTCCTGATAACAAAGAATTATTAGACCCAAGATGCCAATGTTGCCAAAATCAAGAAACTCTGATCTAAGTGATCTGTTGGTGCCTGGAAGATGGACGGGGTGGGCTTGACTAGGGCTGTCCTATTGGGGGAGGGAGGGGGCAAGCTCTGAGCACAGGCTGCCCTCTGACTGACCAAGGCCCAACCCCTGTACTTACTTCCACAAGGGATTTCTTTAAGGGCTCACCATTTGCCTGCCCAAGGCCAAGGTCATGGGGAAAGAGAGGTAGCCTGCTCTTTCTGGTGCTGCAAACAGCACCTCTTTTCAGGACTGTGGAAACAGCCTCACCACTGGCCCATCTGCCCTGGCTTTGCCCTTCCTGACTCTCATGCCCACACGGCCAAAGTCATCTTGAAAAGGGGCAGACCTGGAGACTCTCAGCTTAACCCTTCAGTGTGTACCCACTTCCTACAGCCATGGTTTCCAAACTCCTTTTTAAAATAACTAAGGTCTTGACTGCTCAACAAGCCAAAGCAAATGAGGCCAGCATCCATACAGCACTTCCTACGAGTCAGGAAGCAGATCCTATTATCACCCACATTTTACATCTGAGGAAACTGAGGCACAGGAGGCTTATGTCCAAGGTCCCCGAGCGAGTGAGTGGCAGCCAGGTTCAGACCCAGAACCCACGTTTCTAAGAAACACTGCCTCTAGCTCTGGCACTCACCTCCTACTCATGGGCCCCCAGCCCACAAGGCTCCAGAGGCACTCTTGGGAAACCCAGGACTCCATGAGCCCAAGCTGCCAGGCAGTGCCAAGAGGACGAGGCCCACACTGGACTTTTGGGTTCTTCATGACCCCGCTCTGTCCCCAACCTCAGTTCCTGACCTCCCACTCTCAGATCTGGCCACGCTGGGCTGCCTGGTCCTTTGCCATGGCTGTGCTCTCTCTCACCTCCTCACCTCCTTGGCCTATGATGCCCTCCCTCACACCCACTGTGCTTTGGACCTTCTGGGGGTGAAGTGCCTGACCCAGACTCCACAGGCCCTCTGCTTCCTCCTCTGCTACACTTATCACACCGAATAGCGATTACTCTGCAACTCTCCAGGCACCATGTTTTCTTCATCACAGTGTCCCTAGTGCAGGCCTGGCATGGGGCAGCTACCAAGGAATGTGGTGATGATGTGGCTAAAAGAGCTGGGCTCCGGAGTTAGCAAGGGAGGTTCCAATCCCACTCCTTCAGGCATCTGCTAGGTCCCTAGGTGGGCAGTGGGGAAGCTAAACCCAAGGCCCAGCAAAAGTCAGAGTGGGAGGGACCCTCATAGAGCCTCTAGTTCAATCTGCCCATTTCACAGATGGGAAACCGAGGTCCAGAGAAGAAAAGCAATTTGGCCAAGATCACACAAGGGGTCAGCAGCAGAGCCAGAACTCATCCCAAGCCTCCTGTAAGTGTCCGTCCTGGCAGACTGGGCACCAGGCCCATGCCCCAGACTTGGCAGAGGCATCCCCAGGAAGGCGAGGGGCTCATCGGGGCCCCAAGACAGATGGCAGGCGGCAGGCACATGCACCTTGTTCTTGGCCCATCCTGTCCCCCTCTTCAGCCCCCAAACTGGGTGGGGCAAGGAGGAGTAGGGACAGGAGGAGCAGGTAAGGGGTACCTCGGTCTCCAGCTGGCGTGGATCCGAAAGAAACTCCGTTTATTACTAAACATCTGGCTGGAAAGTTGAGAACAAGACACAAACTGTCTGTTCTCCAGAGGTTCTCCTCCTGGGGACCTGGGCAGAGATCCAGCTGTCTGCATTTTCAACAAATACCCCACCGGATGCTGATGCAAGAGGTCAGTGGACCGGGCTTTGAGAAACACTGCTTTAGCACCTCATCACACAACCCCAAAGAGAGGAGGCTCTGGCCCTAACAATGGATGCCCCCAGGAAGTCCTGCTCCCGTAGTTCTGGGAGTGTGCTTGGCCTAGTCCAGTGGTCGGCAAACTCATTAGTCAACAGAGCCAAATATCAACAGTACAATGATTGAAATTTCTTTTGAGAGCCAAATTTTTTAAACTTAAACTATATAGGTAGGTACATTGTTATTAACTTAATTAGGGTACTCCTAAGGCTTAGGAAGAGCCACACTCAAAGGGCCAAAGAGCTGCATGTGGCTCGAGAGCCAAGGTTTGCCAACCACGGGCCTAGTCCATCCACAAGCACCACGGAGGGTGTGAGCATTCAGGTGTGTGTGTGTGTGTGTGTGGTCCCATCTGCGGCATCCCCCTCCCCCCGCCATGGGTCCCAGACAGCCAAGATTAAGGATATGGCCATTTAGCCTGAGGCTGGTGCCTGACTGCCTAGAAGTCACAGCTCAGCTCAGTGGGGTCACTTAGTTGAAGGAACACCCCACCACCAGCACCACGAGTCCCAGCCATGCAGACACTCCAGGGCAGACAGACGTAAGGCTTGGAGTTAGTGACAGCCAAGCGCTCACTAATAATCTGTTCCTAGGCCTTGGGGGGCCTAGAGACCCAGAGCAGCTGTGAGGGGTGGCACAGGTGCTGGTCACAAGCTAATCTCCATCCCCAGAACTTTCCTATTTAGATAAGGTGAGGCCAGAGTGAACTGGAAGCTACAGAGCACCCTGGCTCAGCTGAGCAGGGTTGCACCAATGCCAAAAACTTTTGAGTTTCTGCCTGGAGGCCGGGGCTGGTTCGGGATGGGAAAAACAATGACGGCCTTTAGGCCATGACAGAGAAACTGAATGCGATGCTCTTCCAGCCTGGCCTGGTCCCTCCCTCCAGCCCCAGACTTGGAGGGCTGGCTCTGCCTCTCTGTTAAGCGCCTCCACCCCCCAAAGTGTCCTTACTCAGAACAGGGAAGAAATGCTGCTCCTAGAGTCCCCTGCACCAAAACCCCCTCCTCCCAGCTCCCCAAGCTTTTCTGCCCCGAAACCAAGAGAACCAAGTGCTCCTTATCAGCTAAAACATCACTGATTTGCTGCCCAGGACCCAGAGGCTCAGAGTGACTTGATGGCTTTCTCAAGGACACACAGCAGCAGGTGGCATAGGTGAGCTTGCACCGCACTTCCTCCTCCTGACCACAGAGTGCGTCACCTCTTCTCCCCTCCCTTGTTCTGGGCCGCAGGCTCAGCATCACACCTGAGGCTCAAGGCCCAGATGCCCGGCTGGCTGATGCAGGGATGATGTGTGAAGATGAGACAAAACAAAGAGATGGGCAGAGGACAGGTGAGAAATGAGGGGGGACTGAATCCTTAACCTCAAAGCTCTACTTCCACGGGAGCAGCCACTTTCCCATACTGTGAGTTAGGGGGCTTCCCTTATCCAAATAGGCTTGAAAATCCACTATTATGAACATTTATGTGTGTGTGTGTGGCGGGGGGGTAGGGGGGCAGACATTATTTCTGTGTTCTTTCTAGATGCAAAAGCTCCAGGCAAGTCAGGTCTAGGGGTAGAAGACTGCTGGGAGCAGCAAACTGTCCCTCAGAAAAGAAGAAAGGCATTGTGGGAGAATCCCAGGAGGATCCTCTGGGATTAGCAAAGCTGTGGACAAGGGTTACACAAGACAAGAGCATTAGTCATTGGTTGAGTTTACGTAGGTCCTACAGCGGTTCTTAGTCACAGAGCTCTCTTTCCAGCTGGCGTCTTGTTCCCGAGAGGCGAGTTCAGTGTCAAGCCCTTTCTAGAGGAACATGCTGGGGGAGGGGTCCCTGCCCTCACACCCCAGGACGGTGCCCACGATTACCTGAGCCGTAAGCACCTGTGGCCAGCGGCCTCCTCCTCTCTCCAGCTTCCCAGGAGGGATGGGGGTGCAGGGATGGAAGAGTGAGGGGGGGAGGCATGGAAACAGAGAAAGAAAGAGGACAACAGAATGAATGGAGGAGGTGATAGGCAAGGATGGTGGGGACAGATCCCCCACTCTCCCAGGTGACAAAAAAGGTGAGTCCAGCCTGACCTCTCCAGAGAGGCTCTCAGTCTGTATCTGTCAGGCTGCTCGACAACTGCCCAGGCCTCATGACAAGGCCTGGGAGTCCCCAGAACAGGCCCAGACAGCCATGTAGTGGCTGGACACAAGTCTGAGAGAGGATGAGACAGAGAATGGAAGAGGAGAAGAAGCAAGAGGAGGTGGTGGCCCCAGAGGGCCCCTACCTTTCCCCAGGGCAGAAGGAGGTGCTGCCCGGCCGGTGGCAGGTGGCAACGGGCGGGTAACGGGAGGGCGCTCCGTCGGGTACTGGCGCCCGCCGCACCTCCAGGGGCCGTAGGCCCCCATTGCGGGCCCGTTGCACGTGCTCAAACAAGAGGGCCAGCTCTCTGCAGGAGAGGGTGCCATCAGCGGCAGGCAGGGCCCTGGCACCACCCCCTCACTCGGTGGGCACTGAGCTCCTGAGCTCACGTCCAGCTGGGCCCTGCCTCTCTCCAGGGACTCAGCAAACAGGCCAGGCCGGAGCAGGCAGCGTACGGTGTGGGAGAGACTAGCCTCCCTCCCTCTCTTTCTACGCTCAGTTCCTGGGAAGTCCTCAGGGATGCCAAGTATGGTTGTGCAGGCTGGGCACACTCCAGAGCACCCTCACGAGGGGGCAAGTGGGAGCCCAAATGCAGCTCACTCTGCTCACCAAGCTGTGCACAGGGATCTGGAGCTGTGCCTACCCGGCGGCCAGCGGCAGCCCTGAAATCCTCAGCCTCCAGAGTTGACTCCGAATTTTAGGGGGGGAAACTGAGGCTGAAGAGGGAGATGTGATCGGGTGGCTAGCCAGCTCCTTCCCCTGAAGCTCTGGGTTATTGGAGACCAGATCTGGGGCTCAGCTTCTTCATAATTCTCCAGGCATTTCCTGTTTCCATAACCCAAGGAAGACAGCTCCCCTTTCTACCTTTCTGTTGTATAGATGAAGAAATTTCGGTCCAAGGAGCAGGAGCCCTAGTCAACCCAGAATCTCCAAACGAAGCTCCGTCCCTCTTACCAGAGGACCCAAGACCACCCCAACCCAAAATCTTCCCCCCTCCTCCACGCACATCATATTTTAACAAACCAGCCCCTGCGCCATTCCCCAAGGCCGGCCTTGAGTCCTTAGGGCTCCTCCTGGAAAGGGCAGCTTCTCCTAAACTAACTACCCTCCTGGTCTCCACCAGCTGCCAGGTGGAGAGATGGGGAAACCAGTGTGATTCTGGGAGCTCCCCTTCCCAGCCCCTTTCCTCCTGCTCCTCCCCTGGGAACCCCCTGGAGGGAGTAGGGAGGGAGGCGGCCAGGTGTAGGGATGAGTGGGATCATGCAACAGCTGCTCTTGGAGAACTAATGAGGCCAAAAAAAAAAAAAAAGGCGCCAGCAGAAGCGCTGAGCACAGCAGCCTGGCCTGCCTTGACGCCGCTTGATGCCCGCCTGCCCGCGGGACCAAGCTGTGCTCCATGGTCTTCATTCCTACCTAAGGGCTTGGCCAGGCACCTGGCCACACAAACCTTGATGATGCAAACCTGCATGGAGCCACCCTGTGCAATCTTACCCCGACCTGGGTCAGTGGGCGAACTCACTTCTGGGCCCTAAAGCTGCTGCCTAGTACAGTAAAAGTAGGCACATATTCACACACAGAGGTACTATGTGGGCCCTTGCACCCAACTCCAGCATGCCCATTCAGGCCCATCACAGACTTTCTCGATCCATTGCAATACGCCAAGCTGGCAAGGCTAACAGTGCCCCCAACTCAGACCGAGGGGAGATGAGCTGGCTGTGCCACTACCCTGGGTGGCAGTGACTCTGGGGAAGCATGCAGACTGCCAGCACTCCAGGGCTCGGGTTCATCCAGAGGGGCAGGCAGGGCTCTACCCCACGCCCTGTGCTCAGTGTCCACAGTCTTCCCAGGGCACAGAGACGGGGAGAGAAGACCCTCTAGGCTCTGAGGTAGGTAGGATCTGCAGAGCCAGCCCCAGATGCTCCCTTGGGAGCCATCATCCCTTTCCCACCCTCCAGGGCTGAATCCCAGCCATTTGTCCTCACGGGGCATTACTGGCAGCCCCTATCCCGCCTTCCCCCTGCACCAGGGCCTACCTGAAGGATGGGAGGATACTGTCATAGTAGTACCAGGTGGCCGTCAGGTAAGCCCGGTTCCTGTCGGTGGAGTATAGGCGCCATGCAGCCTAGTGGTATGAGGGAAGGGAAACGGGAGACAAGGCATCAGTGTGGCCTCTCAGCCCCCCACCAACCCTCGGCCCCTGAGATAACCCAGGCCTGGGCCAGCTGAAGGGTACGCAAACCATAAGCCAGTTTCAATTCCATAGCCACCAGCAGGGCCAGACAAAGAAATGGTGGCCTAGAGGGAAATGACTTTCCCAAGGTAACGAGCAGATCAGCCTCGAAGCCAGGGACCTTGGAGTACAGCAGCTAAAAGCTGGGGTTCTGTCATCAGGTAGACACGTTTCCAATCCTAGCTGTGCCCCTTATGGGCAAGTTAAGTAAAGCTGCAGAGCCTCAGTTACCTCGTCTGTAAAATGGGTATAATACTACTTACCTAACTGGGTGTTGAGAGGATTAAATAGGTGAGTGTATGTGATATGCCAAGTGTAGTACCTGGCATATAGTTGGCAGTTAATGCCAAGTTCCCCTGTTAAACCCTCCTGTTATCTCCCTTACTATACCACTGATAGCTATCTATTCATTGTGTATTTGATTAATGTCTTTCCTCCTCCAGTGGTTCTCAACCTTCTGGCCCTTTAAATACAGTTCCTCATGTTGTGACCCAACCATAAAATTATTTCCGTTGCTACTTCATAACTGTAATGTTGCTACTGTTATGAATCGTAATGTAAATATCTGATATGCAGGATGGTCTTAGGCGACCCCTGTGAAAGGGTCGTTCGATCGCCAAAGGGGTCGCGACCCACAGGTTGAGAACCGCTGCTAGACTGTAAGCTGTGTTTTGATCACCACTGCATCCTCTGGCACATGGTGAGTATTCTGCAAATGTTCAAGGAATGAATGCTGACTGAGTGAATCATTATCACTAACAACAACCCCACCCCCTCTTTCCCAGCTGCCTGTCACTGCCCAAGGGTTGAGGAGGGGAAGACAGAGCATCACCTCCCTCAGCATTCATAGACTTGCAGGGTTTCCTCGCAGCAGGAGGAATGAGGGTCAGACAAGAGGAAAGTCTGTTTCCTTCCCTCCAGGTAAGGGGAAGAGCCAGGAGGGACTGTGAGTGGGGCGATCAGCGAGGGCAGGGAGGCATGGAAGCTGTTAGACACGGCGAAGTAGAACTGGCCCTGGGTGCCCCCCCTTTTTGGGTGCCTGTTGTCCTTAAGGGACTGCCCACTGATGAACTCACCAGCCGGGCACCCTCCCAGGACAGGAATATTTTTACTTCCTGCTTGCCTAGGCCCCTGGCGTAGGCTGGGGAGCAGCTGCCAGACTGTCTCATTAATTATGGGCACCACAATACCAGCTGTCTCTCGGCATGGAAGTGCCAGCTGCCTGCCCCTACAATGCCCCTCCAAAGGCCAGCTCCCAGGGGACAGTGGCCATTGTGCCCCAGGGGACACTGAAAAGGAAAGGCTAGGCTGGTGGCTGGAGATAGCAGGGATGGGAGCGGAATTCCACCCTGGGGAGGAGAGATAAGGAGGGGTTGAGTCAGACTTGGGTTGGGGGTCAGAGGGTGGCATGCTGGAGAGGACGCCGATGTGGCTGTGCCTACATTCCCTGAACTGTCTCCCGCAGGTGAGTCTCTTGCACACACACTTGACCAGGGAGAAGCCAAGGCTGAGTCACAGAGTCACCCAAATCTGAGCCCTTGTCTCAGCCCGTGCCCCATCAGAATGCCTCAGCACAGTGGGGAAACTGAGGCCACACACTGCTAGTTTTTACCCCACTCTTCTGGCTGCTGCTTCTATCTCCTTGGCTGGCTCAACTTTGCCTGCCCAGCCATGAAATGTTGAGGGTCCAAAAAGCCCAGGTCTGGCCCATCTTCTCTGCTCCCTCTTTACCCACGAGGTGAGCTCATCCAGGCCCAGGGCTTTGTTACGTCTACATGCAACAACATGCAACAGCTGTCCCTTTCTGCCCTGCCCATTTCTCTCCTCTCAGAGGTACATCTGGCATCCAGTTGCCTGCTCAACATCGCCACCCAGGGGCTCAGAAGACCCTCAGACTCCACATGCTCCACGCAAACACATTCTTCGGGCTCCACATCCGGTCCCACTCCAGAGAGCAGGGCCATCAACCATCCAGTCGAACAAACCTGGAGGAGTTGCCCCACCTGGAAGTCATCCTGCCATCTCCCTCACCCTCACTCCTGATGTCACTTATTTCACCTCCTCAATATGCAGAATCTGCCCATTTCTTTCCATTTCACATCACCCAGCAACCTGCTTCGCCCAGACTGTTGCCAGAGTCTCTTTTCTGGTCTCCCACACTTACCTGAGTCACCGTCCAATCCATTCACCACTTTTCAAAACACAAATCTGATCGTCACCCGCTCCCCTCCTTCAGACCTGTCCACATTGCTCTTAGGAAAAAGTGACACTCCTCCCTGTGGCCCTGCATCTGGGCCTGGCCCACCTATCCACTATCCACTATCCACTCTTCCTTCAGCTTCCTGTTCTGGCCCTGCTAGCTTTCTTCAAGTTCGTCAAACACACCAGGACCTTTGCACACGCTGTTCCCTTACCCTGAGTCTCCCCACTTCACCTCTTCACCACTTAACACCTACCCATCATCCAGCTCTCAGCTCAAGTATCATTTTCCCAGGGTAGCCTTCCCTGAATCCCCCTTCAAGGTCTCCTGTTAAAAGCTCTTCAGAGAACCATTTCTTTCTTTCAAGACATCGATCTCAGTTTGTAGTTACAACATTCATTCGTGTGAGTGCTTGTAGAATGAATTAATGAGTTAAGGTGTTTGGAGTGGAACAAACGCACTGCTGGCTGCACAGCGGATGGGTGTCTCTACCAAGCACCTAGGGCAGTGGTTCTCAACCTTCTGGCCCTTTAAATATAGTTCCTCATGTTGTGACCCAACCATAAAATTATTTTCGTTGCTACTTCATAACTGCAATGTTGCTACTGTTATGAATCGTAATGTAAATATCTGATATGCAGGATGGTCTTAGGCGACCCCTGTGAAAGGGTCGTTTGACTGCCAAAGGGGTCGCGGCCCACAGGTTGAGAACCGCTGACCTAGGGCCTCTCGGCCAGCTGTCTTCCACTTCAGGCCATGTCGCACTGGGACCGGAGTCGGCCAGTGGGGCAGCTCTGACTAATCCTAAACTGGGCACTTGGTACAGAGGGACATTTTCGACAATCTGAGTCAGCATCCCAGCTCTGTTTCTGACTTGGCATATGACCCAGAAAAGTCACATTTCCTCTCTGAGCTTCAAAGTGGAGTCACAGTTGTGAAGCTGGGACACAAGAGTCAGCATACAGTGTTGCCACGCCAATTCAGTTCAGGGGCTTCCTAGGCATCCGGTACCTGAATGAGGTTGGCTGCTGGCATCCTCCGCTTCTCAAAGTGCTTCTGCCGATGCTGCTCCTGCACCTTCAGGGCGAAGCCAGAGCCGAGGATGCCCTGGGGGAATAGGCATGGTTGGGGGAATGTGGTCGGGCATAAAAGGCAGTCTCTGCCCTTCTGAGACGCTCTCCATGTGGGACAGGCACTTAGCAGGCTCTGCCCCCAGGACCCCTTCCCCTGGCCGGGCAATCCTAGGCAGAGAGGGACTCACGGCAGGCAAGGCAAAGAAGGAGATGCCTAGTAAGGCGAAGCCGGCAGCCAGGACCCTGCCCAGCCACGTGTGCGGCGTCTTGTCACCATAGCCGATGGTTGTCAGGGTAATCTGGGAACACAAATAGGTTACCCACAGGGCTGGTCACAGTGGCCACCCACATGAACTTGTTGGGGGCGCACAGAGATCAAGGCCTGATCAAGAGAGAAGGGCCCCCCATTGTTGCCCACCGGGGGCTGGTCACAAGGACTTGTCATGGGGATTGGCTAGGGCAGTGGTCGGCAAACTCATTAGTCAACAGAGCCAAATATCAACAGTACAACGATTGAAATTTCTTTTGAGAGCCAAATTTTTTAAACTTAAACTATATAGGTAGGTAATTGTTATTAACTTAATTAGGGTACTCCTAAACTGGCCTTTGCTAAAAACGTCCTCAATCTGATTGAGGTCTGTTCGCTGAGGTCGACCCCTTCCAACTCTCCCATCCACACTCGTCTTGTATACTTGTTTCGTCTATCTCCTTTCCGAAAACCGACTTCTGCGAATGGGCCACGAAGTTTCAATCGCACTCAAGGGGCCAAAGAGCCGCATGTGGCTCGCGAGCCGCGGTTTGCCGACCACTGGGCTAGGGGCACAGATAAATCCCGCCCCACCCCACCCCCCAGCCCCATGCCAGGATACAGGCCACAGGGCTTGGCATCTGGGATTAGATGGGGGCACAAGAAGGTCCATGGGGCAAATTGGGGAGCTAGCATACAGACTGGTGATAGGGGCCCCAGCCGTAGCAGAGAGAACAGGGACAGGCCTGCCCAACCCTGAATCGGAGGCTGAATCGGAGGCCACAAGGGTCAGAGATGGTCCTAAGGGGAAGGGAGACCCTCGCGTACCGTTCCCCACCAAAGCGAGTCAGCGTAGGAGGAGAAGTCGGAGTTGGCGTCCTTCTCAGCCAGATAGACCAGGAAGGAGGCGAAGATGAGCACCAGGAACCCGATGTACCAGGCGGTGATCAGCTCCTGCGGGGGCAGCAACGGGTGAGACCACAGGTGGGACCGAGGCGGGCAGGCGTGAGGAAGTGGGGGACGCTGAGCCCACCTGGGAGAGGTGGGTGGGGGGTGAGTGGAGGCCCCCAGAATGGCCCATGAGAGGTGTTGGGAAGGGGATAAAAAGCACCCCACCCTTTGTAGTTCCCAGGCGCCTGTCCCTACTCCTTCCATCAGGGACACCCGGCCCCTCCTTCCCGCAATGGCCAGGCCTTAAAACCGCAGGGCACGCCCCGCCCCCGCCCTTGACCTTCCAGGTTCCACGCTTAGACCTCCGCCCACAGACCCATCTTGCCCCGCCCCCAAGCCCCACTTTTAGGTTTCGATCTGGCCCCACATCTAGCCTCGCCCCCATCCCACCCCCAGACTCGTCCCAGATCCCCACTTTGCTGTGCATGTACCCTGCAACCAGAAGTCTCTAAATGAGACCCTCAAGCCCTTCCCTTCAGCCCCGCCTCCCAGCCGGGTCCAGCCTCCCGGGCTCCTCTCTGGCCCCGCCCTCCTGCTCCGCCGGACCCGGTCGCGCCCCCGCCACGCCCCGCGCCCTCACCTTGCTGTGCGCCATGACCACGGAGCCCAGCAGCTTCCAGGTGCCGCCGCGGCGGTCCATGCGCACCATGCGCAGGATCTGCAGGAAGCGCATGCTGCGCAGCGCAGACGTGGCGAAGATGTTGCCCTGCGTGCCCGCGGCGATGACGGCCACCGAGGCCACGAACACGATGAAGTCTGCAGGGGCGGGGATGGTGCGGTCACGGCCACCGCCAACAGCCCAGCCCACCCCGCGTCAGTGGGGCCATGGGGGGGAGAAGGGGAGAGGGTCCCTTGAGTCTGTGCCAGCAGCCAGTGTCCGGGTCAGATATGGGGTCAGGGTGCCAACCCTGGGGCTTGGGGGGTCACGGGTCAGGTAAAGGGGTAGAGGGGGTCAGGCCTTATTACCTATGACACAGAAGGGTTTTCTGGCAAAGCGGAAGCGGCCCTGCCATCCTCGGTAGCGGCAGCAGCATCCGGCGGACCAGACACGGATGATGTACTCCAGGCCAAACACCACGATCATCACAAATTCCTGTGGGGCCAGGGCCTGAGCTCTCCCCAGTCTCCAGCCCTGACGCAGCCTGGAGTCCCTGGGGTAGAGGTACTAGGGTCTCCTCAGCCCACTTCTCCTGGAGGTGCTTACACCTGGGTGAACCGAGGGGGATTCTCGAAGGCAGGTGGCCCCTTCCAAAGAGACTGAAAATCCAAGTCTGTCCTCTCTGTCCCCGTGAGCTGTCGGGGTTTCTCTCCTCACCCCACCCTCCCACTCCTAGTCGCCCCGGACTCTAAAGCAGACTAAGTGGCATAAAGGGTGGTTGTCTGTCAGCTGTCCCCTCCGAGATGTTTCTGTTTGGGGGTGGCGTTAGCAGTTTGGGTCCTGAGAAGGAGTGGGACCTACTCACCTCCTCTCGGCCCATCATAAGCCCTGGCATAGAGGCAGGAGGTCCCCAACACCTGCTATAAAGCAGGAGATGAAACCCAGAGATGGGCAGCCACCAGCTCAGGGAACACAGCACAGGAAGCCACGCTCTGAGCCATGGTATAAAAAGGCCTCCCTCAGACAGGGACTCCAGCACTCACCAAGATGAGGAGACACTCATTGGCAAGTTCCTGGTGCTCCTGGATAGTGGACAGCACGGACAACACCAGGCAGGTGAACACCAGCAAAAATCTGCAATAGCGGCATGAAGGAAGGGTCAGACTGCTGGGTGGGCAGGATAGCCAAGGAGCCTCACTCAGCAGGGGGCTGTGGAGTCAGAGGAGGGAAGCATTGTTTGAGAAGAGGTATCTGCAGAGCAGATAGAAGGTTCGGAATCAGAGTTCCCTGGAATCGTGGCTTGTGCTGAACACCAAAGGGAGCAGCCCCCAGGCTCCAGGCTGCTGAGTCACAGGCCCCTTGATGTAGCTTCGAGAGGCAGGTTGATCTGGACTGGCCCAGGGTCCCACAGTCAGAAACACCTCCAGGCTCAGCCATTCACAACCTCAGCCCCTGGCTCCGAGGTTGTCTTGAGAGAAGTGCTCCAGAGATTGAGGGAGGGGAAATGGAAGGTCAGCAGCTGAAGGAGGGAAGGGACCCCCATTCCCTGACACCTGAGGTGGCAGAAGCATGGCTTCATCAAAGGTCAATTGTCTTACCTTTGTGGGCACTTAAGAAATTAAATAATCTGATAGCTATGGAAGGAAAGGGAACTAGGGAGAACAGGTAGAGAGAGAAGAATACAGAGTGCAGAGGCGGAGAGGGTGTGAAGAAGGGAATCAGGCATCAAGGAGCCATGAGGTGGAGGCCTGGAACTCCCCTGAAGGAAGCAGGAAGCGACTGAGTGGCCCAGAACCAGATGTTTAGACAAGGAGGGAACTTTAGAACCCACCTCTCCCACCACTCCCTCAGCCCCAATTTCACACATAAGGGAATGGAGGCCCAGGGAACAAACGGCATTGCCAAAGGTGGCTCAGTGTGTCCAGGATGAGGTTAGAATCCACGTTTCGGTGGATGGGCAGAAGGGAAAGGACATGAGGACAGAAGCTGGTGGCCCCCGGAGGATGTGAGTGCGTGACAGAGGCAGGATGAGCGGAAGATGCAGCAACAGGGAATGCTGTCACACATAAGGGAATGGAGGCCCAGGGAACAAACGGCATTGCCAAAGGTGGCTCAGTGTGTCCAGGATGAGGTTAGAATCCACGTTTCGGTGGATGGGCAGAAGGGAAAGGACATGAGGACAGAAGCTGGTGGCCCCCGGAGGATGTGAGTGCGTGACGGAGGCAGGATGAGGGGAAGATGCAGCAACAGGGAATGCTGGACTCCTGAAGCTCTCCTTTTTGGGATGGGGGGGGGGGTAGTGAGGGAGTGGGGAGTGGTTACAGGACATGTGCCCTGGAAGAGACACCTGAGGGAATGGACTTCTCTGGAAACACATCCCTTGTGGATTGACCCACACAGCCTCCCCCAAATGTTCCCAGAGTCTCCCCACCTGGGTCTGCTGATGCTGCATTCTGCCTAAAATACCTCACCATGGTAGCCTGCTGAGACTGCTCCCTTCCCCCACACAACTCTCCCTGCTCAAGGAGCCCTCTGGATGCCCCCTCCCAATGCTGGCCTCCCTGCATGTGGCCCGAATCACTTTCAACATAGCTTTGAGTTCATGTTTCATGGTGACAGGGGCATGGGCTGGGAATCAGAGAGACCTGGGTTCGAATTCCAGTCCTGCCATGTGTGTGGCCCTGGGAAAGTCACCCACCTTCCCAAGACAGTCTCCTCATCTGCAAAGCAGGACTGACAGGACAAAAACATGGAAAGGGTATGGCTACACCCTGACCCACTTACACCTCCTTGGACAGGGGCTCCCGGCCTGCTCGGAGGGCAGGTATAGGGCTGTGTCCCAGCACATGCCCCTGGGTGGAGGAGGTAGGTGGCAGATGTCAATAAAGAGTTTTGAATGAATGAGGGAGGAGGAGGCCTCCTTGGCCAGTTCCAGACAAGAGCTAAGTCAGCGAAGACATAAGGCACGCTGCTCTCCCGCACCAGCTCCTCCTGTTCAATAATTAACCACAGAAAATGCAGCGGCCACATCCACTGGGAAGAGAGACTGTCTCTGACACAGGGCTCAAGGGCGAGGGTCCTCCCTGAGATCTTCTCATCCAGCCCCCTCCTCTGGGAAGGGCTGCAGCCAAATCTTGATGGGCCTGTACCCCAATGCTGGACAGTAATCCTTCAGTCCCATTGCTCAGCAACACTAGGGGCTGCCTACTGAGTGTTTCAAAATAATTTTTTTCTCAACATTTTTCTTTCGATGCCAATAGGTACACATCTACAAATGTCCACTTCACAATAGGTTAATTTTTAAAAGTAGCTTATAGAACCTTAAGGGCAGTGTGATCAAAATTTTTAACACGCAGATATCTTTTATATACTGTACTAGAGGCCCAGTGCATGAATTCGTGCACAGATGGGGTCCGGCTGGCCCACCCCAATTGGAGCCGATTGGGGCCAGGCTGGCATGGGGCAGTGGGGGGGCTGTGGGAGGTCGGCCAGCCGGCCTTGCTCCCGCATTGGGGTGGGGGGGGCAATCAGAGGCAGAACTGGCCATGGGGAGGGGTTGCCGCAGGCAGTTGGCTGACCGGTCCTGTCCCCGATTGGGGGGCGGGGGCTCAATCGCGGCCGCAGTGCGTGTCAAAGCAACCGGTTGTTCTGGTCTTTCTGGCCGTTCCGTCATTCGGTCGCTTGGCTTTTATATATGGAGATACCAAGAGTCAGCGGGAGTTACCTCTGGGTGGAAAAGTTAAGAGTGACTTGGCTTTTGTTTTGCTTTTTGCTTCTCTGCATTTCCTAATATTTTTTAGAATAAACATGGGTATTCTCTTGCCTCTATAACTTGTCTCCTGTGCCCATTTCTTCTACAACTCACTTCTACCTCTATGACTTTCTAAATAAACTTTCTCTTATGGTTTGAGTCTTGGCTCTGAATTATTTCTTAGCCAGAACTCAAGTACTGAGGTCCAGTCGAACTCCATCAGTTTAACACCTGGTGCCATTTCACCACCAACACATGCACATGGGGAATTCATATAAGCATGAAAATTCCAAACACATAAAACAAAATGAGGTATAAATGTCATTCAGTGCTAAGGGCGAGGGGGGAGGGGGAGAAGTGATCCACAGGGAGACGAAAAGAGTTACTGTTTAATACATTGAGCCATCTTGAAACAATAGGTCACAAAAAGGACTTTGACCAAAGGGTCTTGCTAGGTTCTTCCCTGTCAATTACACCTAATATTTTAGATATTAAAATACAGTGGTTCATCTATGATGATGGTTCCCCTCCTGGAGCAAGTCCGTTGTCTAAATTCCTTTTAGGCAATAAGGTCAAAAGGTTCTTCCTGAGCCTTCTGGGCTTTTAATGTTTTTAGCTCGAAAGAACCTGCATGCTAGCATAGCACATCTTGGGGTGACTCATCTGTACCCCTACACTTATAATGTAAACAACTTTATCAAGTTTTGAATTAATGTCAATTCAAAAACTGACACAGTGTTCTAGCCGTTAAATATTAAAATTGTGGACCCAGAGAAGAAACATTCATTTGATGTGAACCCTGAGAAGGAATTTATCTGCTGAGATGATTTCCCACGGTCAACGGAGGGCCAAAATTTTATAAATAAGAGCCTAGCAGGGATTTGCTGACAGGAGCTCCTCACATACAAGAAAGAAAGAAAGAAAGAAAGAAAGGGAGGAAGGAAGGAAGGAAGGAAGGAAGGGAGGGAGGGAGGGAGGGAGGGAGGAAGAAGGGTAATCACACTCTAATATAAAATTTAAAACGCATTTCCTTAAAAATACAAATGGGGGAAAACCCACTGTGAATCCTGCCCCCAGCCCCTTACACAATAGCCTTTGCCATCAAGCAGGTGTGAGGGGGTGGCAGCCTCTCCCCAGAGTCCAGCTCACATATCCAACTGCCTATTCAACGTCTCTCTGTGGATGTTTAATGGCCTCTCAAACCAAATGTGTCCAAAAACACACTCTCAATTTGCCCTCAAATCTTGCTCCTCTCCAGTCTCCACATTTCAATAAAGGCACCACCCAGGGGCTCGGGCTGCAGATCTGAGTTAAGCCTTGATTCTCCTTTTCCTCACCCTCCACATCCTGTCCTTTAGAAATTTCTGTGGGCTCTGCCTTCAGAATATATTCCTGTAGAGGCCACGGCTCACCACCAGCCACCTCCTGGCCCCTGACTGGTCTCCCTGCCTCCACGCTGGCCCCATTGTCACCACTCTCTTCCAAGCAGCCAGAGTGATCTTCCTGGGACACAAAGCCAGAAGCCATCATTCTCCTCAAAACTCTCCACTGACCTCCCATGGCACTTCAAGGGCGAAGTCCAGCCCCTCAGCATGTCCAGCAAGGCCCTCTGAGATCCGGCCTGCACCTCCACCTCTTCAATTTGATCTCCCCTTTCAACCCTGGCTCACTGGGCTCCAGCCTTCTGCCTTCCTTGCCCTTCCGGGAACACACCGAACGTATTTCCACCTCCAGGCTTTGCACTTACTTAGCTGTTTTCTCTGCTATTTATTGCTCCCTTACTCATCCAGCTCTCTGTTCAAACATCACTTCCTTGGAGTCCCCAACCACCCCCTCTCCAAAATAGCAATCCATCTGTACTCTCTCTCCCTTTGCCCTGCTTTATTTACTTTTCATAGCAGTGTTGAAAGACGGAGTAAATGAATAGCAGAATTGCACATTAAACAAACATCAGGACACCATGTCACCAAAGCCCCCAGTTTGTACCCACTGAAGAGGTACCCAAAGCTTTTAGCACATCCATCTCTGACCCGCCAGTCTCCCCAGCATCTTCATGAGAAGGGAAGAGAAGGCAGGCCTCTGACCCTGACCAGCTCCACTTGATAGATGCTGTTTCAAAAGCCCCTGCTGCCTGGTTTGGCTCAGTGGATAGAGCCTGTGGACTGAAGGGTCCTGGGTTCGATTCCAGTCAAGGGCACATGCCTGGGTTGTGGGCTCGATTCCCAGTAGGGGCATGCAGAAGGCAGCCGATCAATGATTCTCTCTCATCATTGATGTTCCTGTCTCTCTCTCCCTCGCCCTTCCTCTCTGAAATAAATAAAAATATTAAAAATAAATAAATAAAATATATATGAATAAATAAATAAATAGCCCCTGAACTTCA